TTACCAGGCTGGAGTGCAGTGGTGTGATCTTGGCTCACTGCAACCGCTGACTCCCTGGTTCAAGCTATTCTCCTGCCTCAGCCTCCCGAGTAGCTGGGATTACAGGCATTCACCACCACGCCCAGCTAATTTTTGTATTTTTAGTAGAGACAGGGTTTCACCATGTTGGCCAGGATGGTCTTGATCTCCAGACCTTGTGATCCCCCTGCCTCGACCTCCCACAGTGCTGGGATTACAGGCGTGAGCCAATGCGCCTGGCTGAGATGAAATTGTCTTTAAAAAAATTAGTAAAATTGAAGTAATGGAGGAAGGGGGAAGAGGGAAATTCCTGGTCTGACAAGAGAGTAGGAAGTCTGCTTTCTTCTTACTGTGGTGTTCCTTTGAATATGAATGCATCTCACTAGGTTTTGTTGGTTGTCTGGGGGAAGCTGGGTAATTCAAAGGTCATAGTGCCTGCTTACATGGTATTCCATTAACAGAAGAGGTTTATTTTGTTTGTTTAAAAATAGGTAATACTTTGATAGGGTTGAAAAATTTAAGTTTTAAAACATATACAGTGAAAAGTCTTTCTCCCATCTGCTCAAGTTCCCACACTCCCATTCTACCCTCACAGATAGTTTTTACTTCTTTTGTAGCCTTTCAGTGTTACATATACTTAAAGAAGCAAATAGAAATATAGATTGTTAGAACAGAACATTTTGATAGAATGTGGAAACATACTGAATAGGGAATATTAAATCAGCAGAAAAAGAGATGTAATTTTCTTCCTGTGATTTGAATTATTTCACTTCTTAGTATCATGGTAGATTGTGGTCCAAAAGGAAAGAACGTACAGTGACTTAAAATCAGCAAAGCAATTTAATTTTTGTCTTTATTTTTCAACAACCGCCTGAAAAAGAATGAAAGATTATAAATTAGGTAGTCCTTGTCACAGTTAAGTGACACTTTTAAGAAGTATGTTACGTGGAATCCCCACTGTACGCCTACATTTTGTCTAAATGCATTGAAGAGCTATTTGGAAACTTACTTGCAGTGGTTACGTTATCATTATTTGTTTCAGTCTCTGTCTTTTAAGTCAGACAATGACAAATAATTCTCTTTTTCTTATTCTTTTTCTTTTGTTTTTATCATGTTAGTGTCTGTTACTTGCATTGCATGGTTCAGTGAAGACAGACCATTTGCTGTGGGATATTTTGATGGAAAATTATTACTGGGAACAAAGGAACCACTTGAGAAAGGAGGCATTGTTCTAATTGACGCACATAAGGTAAATGCATCTTTAAAAAACATAATTTTATGGAATACAAGTGCAATTTTGTTACATGCATAGATTACACAGTGGTGAAGTCAGAGATTTTAGGATATCCATCACCCAAATGACATACATTGTACCCATCAAGTAATCTCTCATAATCTACCCTCCTCCCAGCCCTCACCCTTCCAAGTCTTCTTTGTCTACCATTCCACACTCTAGGCCCGTGTGTACACATGAGTTCCCTTTTCCCCACTTTCTTGCCAACAACTGTTGTTTTTTGTCTTTTTAATAATAACCACTTAAAAGTGAAAAAAATCTAATATTTGTCTTTCTGTGTCTGACTTATTTCACTTAAGATAATGGGGTCCAGTTCCAACCATGTTGCTGTAAAATACCTGATTTCATTCTTTTTATGGCTGCATAGTATCCCATTGTTTATGTATACCACGCTTTCATTATCTGGTCATCCATTGATGGACACTTAGGTTGATTCCATATCTTTGCTATTGTGAATGGTGCTGTGGTAAACATATGAGTGCAGGTATCTCTTTGAGGAAATGATTTATTTTCCTTTGGGTAGACACTCAGTAGTGGGATGGCTGGATCCAATGGTAGTTCTTTTTTTGTTCATTGAGAAATCCCCATACTGTTTTTGATAGAGTTTGTACTAATTTACATTCCCACCAACAGTGTTTAAGAGCTCCCTTTTTGCCACTTTCTTGCCAGCATCTGTTGTTTTTTGTCTTTTTAATAATAACCATCCTGAATGGGGTGAGATGATATCTCATTGTGGTTTTATTTTTTTATTTTTTTAATTTAAATTTTTATTTTTTTAGACGGAGTCTAGCTTTGTCGCCCAGGCTGGAGTACAGTGGCGCGATCTTGGCTCACTGCAATTTCCACCCCCCAGGTTCAAGCAATTCTCCTGCCTCAGTCTCCTGAGTAGCTGGGATTACAGGTGCCCACCACCATTCCTGGCTAATTTTTATATTTTTAGTGGAGACAGAGTTTCACCGTATTGGTCAGGCTGGTCTTGAGCTCCTGACCTCAAGTGATCTGCCCCCCTCAGCCTCCCAAAGTGCTGGGATTACAGGCGTGAGCCAACACTCATGGCTCATTGTGGTTTGAATTTGCTTTTCTCTGATGATGAGTGATATTGAGCATTTTTTCATATGCCTGTTGGCTATTTGTATATATTCTGGTAAAAGCATCTTTACCAGATAGTTGCTTTTTCTTGTTTCTTTTTTCCCCCTCCTGAGACGGAGTCTTGCCCTGTCACCCAGGCACAACCTCGGCTCACTGCAGCCTCCGCTTCCTGGGTTCAAGCAATTTTCCTGCCTCAGCCTCCTGAGTAGCTGGGATTACAGGTGCCTGCCACTACTCCCAGCTAATTTTTTTTTTGTGTGTGTGTTTTTAGTAGAGACGGGGTTTCACCATGCTGGCCAGGCTGGTCTTGAATTCCTGACTTCATGATCCGCCCACCTCAGCCTCCCAAAGTGCTGGGATTACGGGCATGAGCCCCGGCACCCAGCCTTCTTGGTTTTTTTTTTTTTATTACTCTTCTATTGCTTGATACTAGTTTCTTTTAAAATTTTTTTACGTCAGTCAGTTATAACTTAATGTTCTATTATTGCACAAAATCTTTGGACAGTGGATATACATGGATAAGTCTATGTAAAAATAAATAAGCCATGAAAGAGTAAAGCCAACACCCTGGGAATGATGGCTTTAAAGGTAAAGCCAGTACCTCCCAGGGTGTCAGAATGCCTCCCAGTAATGTCAGAAATTCCATTCATGAAGAATGATTTTTTTTTACCTTAAACAGAAGTTACCAATTCAGATATTTACAGGACCATCTAGGCGAATAGCATAAATGCATGAAACCAGGAAGCTGGAAGGTGTGGAAGAAGATTGAAAAATAAAAATAAAATCAGAAGAGCACAATGATCACAACCATATAAACACAAAACATATCCCAGATTCTTATAAGTGTTTGCTGTTGAGGTGTGAGGGGTGCTTTTGTTTTAAGTCTCTTCTTTTTCATACTGTAATGATTACCAGTCAATAAGGATAACTCTTAATAAATACACGTGCTAATGAGAGATAGCATTAGTCAGAATTTATCTGACTAATCCCTTTTTAGTCAGAATTTCATAATTTGTTCATCCTGCTAACATTTGTTGAGCTTTAACTGCAGCAAATATATATGACACAGACTATATTAAAGGGTAAGTTGGTCTAGTGATTGGGAATGATATGGTAGCATCTGATTTGCATAAAATATTGATTTCAAAATAATTGAGTTATAGAAATATAGATGCTAAGAAACATAGGTTATATATTACTGAATTTAAAGTATTTGTGAAGGAAACATTACTCTGATTTTTTTTTTTCTCTTCCTTCCATTTTAAGGATACTCTTATTAGCATGAAGTGGGACCCTACAGGTCATATTCTTATGACATGTGCCAAAGAAGACAGTGTGAAACTCTGGAGCTCTATTTCAGGATGCTGGCGCTGTCTACATTCACTCTGCCATCCCTCTATTGTAAATGGCATTGCTTGGTGCCGCCTTCCAGGGAAAGGATCCAAGTTGCAGTTACTGATGGCTACGTATGTTGTCAATTTGCATCTATGCGTCTTAGTTTTTATATTGGTATAGACTGTTATTTGCATTAAGTGTGGCTTCTCAGTAGTCTTAAAGAGTTTATTGCCAGTTACTATTCTTATAACGTGTAACATTATAAGATTACCTTGCTGGGCGTGGTGGCTCACACCTGTAATCCCAGCACTTTGGGAGGCCGAGGCAGGCGGATCACGAAGTCAGGAGATCGAGACCATCCTGGCTAACACGGTGAAACCCCGTCTGTACTAAAAATATAAAAAATTAGCCAGGCGTGGTGACGGGCGCCTGTAGTCACAGCTACTCGGGAGGCTGAGGCAGGAGAATGGCGTAAACCCAGGAGACGGAGGTTGCAGTGAGCAGAGATAACGCCACTGCACTCCGGCCTGGGTGACAGAGCGAGACTCCGTCTCAAAAAAAAAAAAAAAAAAAAGATTACCTCAGAGAAAAGAAAAAGCAGTAATTGTCCAGTGTGAAACTTGGTACGTTATCTCCTTATCTCTGGGTGTGATGTTGTTAGAATATTGGCCTCGGTTATATTTCTTGTAAAAGATTGTATGTACTACAAATAAGTTTAAAAAATAATGTAGTGGTTCTGTCAGATCTTAATTGATTGCAATTTGGAAATATTTTTGCTTATGCATATTGACTTGTTTTGGTTTTATGTAATCAATTTTTTAAGTGGCTGTCAGAGTGGTTTAGTATGTGTTTGGCGCATTCCGCAAGATACTACACAGACCAGTGTGACTAGTGCAGAAGGATGGTGGGACCAGGAATCAAATTGCCAGGTAACATTCTGATGTTTTTGAAGACTTTATCTGAAACTATGGAAAATATATTACATCAAAGTAATTCTCCCTTTGTTTACTAAAAAATCATTACCATATCCCAAAGGGCAAGATCCATTGGGAAATATAAGTAATTGTCATCCTGAATTAGCTTAATTTTTTATAAATCGGAGATACCATAATTACTTGGTCAAATGAGATATTCCATACATATTAAGTGGTGAGTGTTACTGTGATAGTGGATATAATTAATACTACAGATAGACAAGTCATAAGTTGTTAGTACATTAAAGCAGAAACTCCATGGGAGCACGTCCATCCAAAGAATCTCCAGCTGATGCCAGAATCCTTGCTATGGAGAATGATTTGTTTACATTAAACAGAAGTTAAAAATTTATATATTTAGAGAGCCCTCTAGGCAAGTAACATAAATTCTTGAGGCTAGGGTCAGAAGGTTTGGAGAGGGCAAAAAAACAAAAACAGAAAAAAAACGAAGAAGCATACATGCTTTATATAAAGGCACACAGCTGATTGTCAGTTTCCAGAATTAAGAGCCTGTTGTTACCAGATTGTTTTATTTTTTTTCTGTAGATGCTAAGAATCCAATGTTTAAGTAAAATCTCCCAATATTGAACATTGGCACCTAACTTAAAATTGTTTAAAACACTGAGTGGCCAGTCAGATTGCATCTCTGAGCTACCAGTTTGTAACTTCTGTTGGCTTCCTTTTGCTCACGATATCCTTGGAAGAAATACACTTTACATCATCTTTGGGTAATGAATATATCTAGTATTATGTTGTCATAACTGAAAGGAAGAAGGAGCTTAAGGGTGGAGAGAAAGGGTGAAGAGGGAGGGAAGGAGTAGCCAACTCACTAATAGGAGAATATCACAGAATATCACAGCAGTGGAGGTAGGAGTACTACAGATAAGTCTGGTTTTACTCTTTGTGCTGGAGGGTAACCCTATAAACAGGCCTTACCTATGTCACTTCTAAAGCCTGCAGAACAAATGTGTGACAGACAGAACCATCAGCCGACAAAAAGAGAAATCTCTTTATGTAGAGTCAGCATGTGCAGTTCACAAATGTTAGGGTATAAAAATGAAAATTACATGAAGTGAAAATTTAAAAAATAAAACACTGGTTACAAAGTAGTCAGAATTTTCCTGTCTCTGAGGGATAATTAGAACTTCGAGATGTTATTTCTGTAGTTTGAAGACTGGAAAACTAGTTTAGAAATATATTTTTTTAAAAAAGATGAAAGTCAGCTTCAACAAAGGAGAATCAGATATTTTATTATTGATTCAGTCAAGCTAACGATCCTTTATGAGGAAAATTCTCTCCCCTTTGCCAATTTTATTCTGAAATATAAAATTTCCAAGAGTGAATGATAAATCTTGAACTTATAATTTATCTTTATTTTAATGCATGTTAAAAATAATGAATTTCAGGATGGATGTAGGAAATCGTCAGGAGCCAAGTGTGTTTATCAGCTGCGGGGACACATCACTCCTGTTCGGACTGTTGCCTTTAGTTCTGATGGGTTGGCCCTGGTGTCTGGTGGACTAGGTGGGCTCATGAACATTTGGTCTTTAAGGGTAAGAGCATAGATTTTATTTATATGTTAAGGAATATTTTGACATTAACTTAAACACATATGATAAAAATTAACCAATCCTAGAAACATTTTATATAGTAATCTCTTGAATGCTGAGGAAACTTCTTTCAGAATGCTCTGCCCTTACATTTTTCTTAATAATGATAAGTATTTTTAAAATCAGCTGGGTCCTAGAAAATGAGGTAGTAGGTATGTGATTGGACATTGCTGAATTTAGCTAAAATGTAGACTTTAGAATATGTTTTTGTCAATGTGAAGTATAAACTTAAATGTAAATTATACCTAAAGTTCAATGATCTGTATTGGTAAATATATCTCATTTTAGGATGGCTCTGTCTTGCAAACTGTTGTGATAGGCTCTGGAGCTATTCAGACCACAGTATGGATTCCAGAAGTTGGAGTAGCTGCTTGCTCAAATAGATCAAAGGTAATATTGTAGTTATATCAAATGATGGGGTGTAACCTTGTAAGGAACTTTAGAAATCATAATGTAACCACCTCACTTTATGGAGGAGAAACCTGATATCCAGAGGGATTACTGCTTGTCCAAAACAGTCCAACTATTTAGTAGCAGAAGGAGAATTAGAACTTAAGTCTCCTGCTTAACTTTTTCTACTACACCCCATGCTTCGGCGACAGTGCTTAGATGTTGAACAATTTCATTTCCGTTGGAAGTGATGAAGTAGATTTTGACTTTCTGCCATGATTTTTGACAATAGCACTAAACTATCTCAAGGCTGGGCACAGTGGTTCATGCCTGTAATCCCACCACTTTGAGGAGGCCGGGGTGGGCAGATTGCCTGAGGTCAGGAGTTCAAGACCAGCCTGGCCAACATAGTGAAACCCATCTCTACTAAAAAATACAAAAATTAGCCAGGCGTGGTGGCAAATGCCTATAGTCTCAGCTACTTGGAAGGCTGAGGCAGGAGAATTACTTGAACTCAGGAGGCAGAGGTTTCAGTGAGCCAAGATTGTGCCATTGTACTCCAACCTGGGCGACAGAGCGAGAGCCCATCCCAAAGGAAAAAAAAACGATCTCAAACAAATTTTCCCTGGAAAGAAGCAGCATTGCAAAGCCATTTAACTAAGCATACAAAATATATCTTGGCTTTCAAATTTAATATTCTAGGAAAAATGCTGGTCCCCTGCTGTGAAGTAATTCTATGATATAACATTATTCCCTACAGTATTATTTTTCATACCCTTAAAGATTAGAGCCAATGTGCCGATTTAATTTACATTTTATATGGTTAAATGATGTTAAAATAAGCTGTAAACCTTCATGAAAGGTTCTACTGAAAGTAAAATGTAGAATCAGACCCTAGGCAGTAGTGGCCTGTCCAGAATAAGCCATAGAGCCAGAGTTAAAGCAGTGCTACCTCTTTTGCAGCTATCCTTGTAGTCATGTCAGACATGACTTTTGAAATATACTAGACACCTTATTCTGCAAGTTCTGAAGAAATAGTTAATAATTGACGTTATTTCCTTTTAAAGTACCAGCTAATCTGAGGTAGTTCACAAATTTTATTGTATCTCATTATTTTTTACTTAGACAAAATTTAGGATATTTTGAAGTTCCATAGGCTTTAAAAGTATAGCCTTTTTGGCTATACAGTATCCAAAAAGCAAAGATGTCCCAGTTACTAGAAGGAATTTCACAGATGAAATGGTGATAGCATTATTTTTTATTTAAACAAATTTATCATGTGGCATGATTTATTTTCAACCAGGATGTTTTGGTCGTGAATTGTACAGCAGAATGGGCAGCTGCCAATCACGTTTTGGCAACCTGTCGGACAGCACTGAAACAGCAGGGTGTTCTGGGATTGAACATGGCTCCCTGCATGAGAGCATTTCTGGAGCGGCTCCCCATGATGCTTCAGGAGCAGTATGCCTACGAAAAGGTAACTCGTTACACTCACTCCTAGAGATCCACAGATACCCAGTGCTTTCAGTTTGATTATAGCCTTGAACTTATCCCTTAAGAGCATGAGGTCTGAGGAAAATAAGTGGGGCTATTTGGGAAGAATCAAATGAAGGTAAGTCATGCCTAAAAGAGTTGTTCAGCAACCCTAAGTCTATTCTTGCTTTATTTTCACCAGAGTAAAATAAGGAAACAAACAAACACCAAGTTTGTATTACTGTTTTTCAGATTTATTCACTCCAAAGCTTCTTAAAATACCTATGCAGCAGAATACCATCTTCCCTTTTCTGACCCACACATATATCTATTTTTATATGACTTGGCCATTCCAAAGTTGAGGGATAGGGATGGATGCGGGTATCAGAGTGAACATTGTCTCCAATTGTCGGATAAATCTTTGTGGAAAATTTAGTGGAAGAGCTATGTTGAATTAATTGAGTAGGGTCATTGAATACTGGAATGAGGAATTATAGCATTTGAACTTGTCCAGACAGTGATCCTAAAGTAGCCTGTCTTCCAGCCCTCAGTAGTCACAGTGTACTGACCCCAGCAGAACTCTTTGATTTTTTTTTCTTCTTCTTTTTTTGCCAAACTACATTAATGTGATCAGCTGTTACCACACCCAGTTAATTTCACTAACCTATTTGCTCAAGTTTTCTTTTCTGAATCACTCAGGCTCCACAACTAGGGAATGCCATGGAAGAAGAAAGGATTTTCCTTTGATAGCTACCAGGATTCTTTTGTAAAGGAGGAAAGTGAGAAGAACAGATCTCTGTGGTTTAATAGTTACCTGCTTTTTTTTCCAATCAAGAAAAACCGTGATGAAAGTGTACTATATGCAGTGTGATATCTTAGATTGGATCCTGGAGCAGAAAACGAGTATTAATGGGAAAACTGAGGAAAACCAAATCAAGTTCTGTGGTTTAGTTAGTATTGTACCAATGTTAGTTTGTTAGTTTTGATAAATGTGCCGGGGTTGTATAAGATGTTAACATTAGATAAAGTTGGGTGAAGAGTATACAGCAATTCTCGGTACTGTCTGTACAACTCTAAATCTAAATTTATTTCCTAGCAAAAAGCTTAAACAGTAAACTTCAAAAATAAGACTCCAGACTTTCAGACTACAGTAGGTTAATTTAGAATATTTGGCACAAACTCTTCGACATAACATCCTTGTATTTTCTTTTAGCCTCATGTGGTTTGTGGCGACCAGCTTGTTCACAGCCCCTATATGCAATGCTTGGCTTCCCTTGCTGTGGGACTTCATCTGGATCAGCTGTTGTGTAACCCTCCAGTGCCACCACACCACCAGAACTGTCTCCCTGACCCTGCATCCTGGAATCCAAATGAATGGGCCTGGTTAGAATGTTTCTCAACCACTATAAAGGCTGCCGAAGCCCTGACCAATGGAGCCCAGTTTCCAGAATCTTTTACCGTTCCAGATCTAGAACCTGTTCCAGAGGATGAACTTGTATTTCTAATGGTAAATGTACTGTGAGCTGCTATTATTTGCAGCTGAGATTTTATCATGGGTATTTGGCATATAGCAGACCCCTAGTAAGTCTTTGCTAGTATGAATGGCTAGAAGTTAAGAGAAGTGGAAAATATTTTTCTTTCAGATAGTCACTTTCAATCTGATGGCAGGCCTCTATAGTGGCAGGAATTGGTAATGTAAGCACTGTTGAACTCTTGTAAACCTGCCAGCTCTCAATGACATAGTCCCATATTTTCTCACTTTCTTTTGTCCATAGGTACTTTGTTAGTGCCTTACCTGTAAATATCTTAGCATCTTTTCCTGGTCATCTTGTGGGTTATATGCCACATATAGATTCTAATTTGTTTGGCATTTCAAGCAAGTCTTTAATTAGCAGCAAATAAAATATAAAAGAGCATCCTGATTGTCATTTCATTCTGATTGTATTTGAGAGTGTATACTGTAGAAACTGTGACATTGATAAAATACCTGTGTAGACTACAGGCCAGCACATGATCTAACAACCTCTTTGTATACTTAAGATTTATGTATACAAACATTTGGATAGATAACTATTAACACAATGTGGAACAGATAAATATAAATTGAGTAAAATTATGTAACTGTAGTCATGTATCACTTAATGACAGGGATATGTTCTGAGAAATGCATTGTTAGGCATTCTTGACACTGGGAATATCATAGAGTGCATAGTACTTACCCAAATCTAGGTGATATAGCCTACTTACACAAGACTATATGGTATAGTCTGATTACTCCTAGGCTACAAACCTGTATGGAATGTTACTGTATTCAGTGCTCTAGGCAGTTGTAACACAATGGTAATTATTTGTGTATGTAAACATAGAAGGTGTAATAAAAATAAGGTTTTATAATCTTATGAAACCATCTTCACACATGCAGTTTGTTGTTGACTGAAATGTCATGTGGCACAAAAGTATAGAATATTGTAATCAGAAAATGTCCTTCTAAGCCCATTTGGCCCAACTCTGTAATTTTGTAGATGAGGAAGCTGAAGTCCAGAAAGGTGAAGTGATTTGCCCACAGCTACACAAAGAGTTTATAGGGGTGTGGGGTCCTGCTCATGACCTTTTACCTGTGGGTGTTCAGAAAACACATGGCTAGCTTTGAATCACCAGTACTGTAGTGATAGTGATAGTGAAAGTGTTTATAATAAAGGGAAATACTGACAGTGCATAAAATCAAGTTTGACATAATTATAAAACTGCTCTTAATTTCTCATGATATTACCATGTTCTTTTTTGGAAATAAGACTTAATAATTAGAAGAGCACTTTGTTGTTAATAGCCGCTGAATCTTGCCTAAGCAGAATTGATCATTATGTATCCCCTGTTTTTCAGGATAACAGTAAATGGATTAATGGCATGGATGAACAAATTATGTCTTGGGCAACTTCCAGACCTGAGGTCAGTAAAGATGAAGATAACTGTATGATGATTCTCAGTTAGTGTTTTGATTCTAAATGCTTGTGCATTTGTACCCTGGTGTCTCCCATACAGGCTGGCACACACTTGGTACTTAGTACATGACTGTTTTAGTGAATGGATGACTCTAATTTTGAGATGATTGTGGTTTTCTAGGACTGGCACCTGGGAGGTAAATGTGATGTCTACTTATGGGGTGCTGGTAGGCATGGACAGCTGGCAGAAGCTGGAAGAAATGTAATGGTACCTGCAGCAGCTCCCTCATTCTCACAGGCCCAACAGGTAACTAACAGGGTGAAAAATAGAAAAGAAACATGGGAACTGAAAATTCTAATTCTTTTGCTTGTCTTATTGTGGGATAAAGCTTGTCCATTTCGTAATCTATTGTGAGGAATCATTAGAGAAAGTCATGATATATAGCTTTCAAATAAAAACTTGCTGTGGTTTTTATCAGACTTAAGAAGTTAACAAATTTCTAAATTTTTCTTTCACGTTTAATGAACTAACATCATGATGCATTAGGCCTGCCCAGTATGTATTTCTAGCAGTTCAGATACTCCTAATTAGTGATTTTCTCTTTGGGGCTATAAACTTCCTAGGATCTTTAGCCAGATTTTATCGACCACTCCCCTTTTCTAATAATCCTGGTACGACATAGCGCCAAACCCTTCTCGAGGTCACTGCTTTGTCTTTTGCTCTTCTCTACCTCAGCTAGTCCCAGATTGCATGACTCATTCTTATGTATGAGTTTCTGCTTCTTTCTAGCCCAGTCTTTAATATTTCTCCATTACCCCTTCCTTTTTCTTTCGTCCATTTTGTTGTTCTAAACTCTTTTAAATAGATGAATCTCATACATCTTTTGGTTAAATAAGCAGTTTTGTAGTCATCAAGGAGTTAAGGGACTGCATGGTTATATCAACTCTTCCCTTTCAGTAAAAGGATAAAAAAATTATAAAGGCATTCTATGTATATGTGGAATCATTTCAAGTGCTTGCATGTTGAAGCAATATAATATAATAAAAAATAAAATATTTAATTCTGTGTTTTTGTACTAGGTCATTTGTGGTCAGAATTGTACCTTTGTCATCCAGGCCAATGGCACAGTGTTGGCTTGTGGGGAAGGAAGTTATGGCAGATTAGGACAAGGAAATTCAGATGACCTTCATGTACTGACAGTTATTTCAGCCTTACAAGGTAAAATTTTCCGTAGTTAAAAGATGGTTAGAACCTATGGCCTAATGTAGGTTTGGTCATACAAACCTTTGCCCTTCTCCAACCTTTGCTAGATAAAATCATATTATCGGGTCTTCACTTACATTTAAATCCTTGTTTAGGCACGTGTACAGCCTTAATTTCCATATTGTAAGCTATATTGCAAGTTACTTATCATACAATGCTAGAATTCAATGAAATATAAATAACACTTTTTGAGACCCACTGAAGATTGTAAACAAATGCTTAAAAATTGCAAAAGTGTAAGTAGGCAGATGTTAATAGCAATAGCAATCATGCATGTGTTTCATTAAAATTAAATATCAGTTTATATGGAAATCTACAAATGTGCTAAAGACTTTAAAGGACATCTTCATCAGAGTTCTGTGTGACTTGGAGAAAGAACACTTTGGAGAAACCACTGTACATGCTCCCGGCTTGCTCATTAACTGAACTCATAGTGACTCTGAAGCCTACAAAGAGAGCACAGACGGTTTTTTACGTAAAAGCATACAAGTAACTGAGTTCAAAGCAAGTTCCTGGAAGCTCAGGTTCTTTCTGTTGTGATCTGGGTGTGAAGAGCACAGCAGTAGAGATGAGAATGTGTGCTGGGTTCCTGTGGGTTCTACTGGTCCTTGGCTCTGGGACATTGCACAAACTATGAGACCTCTTTGTGACTCAGTTTTCCCAATTGTAAAAATGGGGTGTTAGTATCTGTTTCATAGGTTCTATGTGAAAGTAGAAAATGAGATAAACCATGTAAAGCATTTATGGGAGTGGCTGGAGCATAGCCAGTCATTAATGACTATAACTATTGCTGTCATCCTCCTTTTCCTTGTCATCATCATTATTTTAGGTGACTATTCCCAGTTTTGCCAGGTTATGGCTACAAATTCAATTTAAAACTAAAGAAATTGGGTCAGGCACTGTGGCTCACACCTGTAAATCCAGCACTTTGGGAGGCTGAGGCGGGCAGATCATTTGATGTCAGGAGTTCATGACCAGCCTGGCCAACATGGTGATACCCTGTCTCTGCTAAAAATGTAAAAATTAGCCAGGTGTGGTGACACGTGCCTATAATCCCAGCTACTCAGGAGGCTGAGGCAAGAGAATTGCTTGAACCCAGGAGGTGGAGGTTGCAGTGAGCCGTGATCACACCACTGCACTCCAGCCTGGGTGACAGAGTGAGACTCCGTCTTAAAAAAAAAAAAAAAGGAATGAAATTATTCTTATTTTCATAGTACCATTTCAGTGCTTTTTGATTGAGGGCATTCAGTAGCAGCTGCAAGTGAAGAGGAGCGTTTTAACATCCAGTGACTCCTATTGGGTTTCTGTTTTGTTTCAGGCTTTGTGGTGACCCAGCTGGTGACTTCCTGTGGTTCTGATGGGCACTCTATGGCCCTAACTGAAAGTGGTGAGGTCTTTAGCTGGGGAGATGGTGACTATGGTAAACTTGGCCATGGGAACAGCGACAGGCAGCGGCGGCCCAGGCAGATCGAGGCCTTACAAGGAGAAGAAGTGGTGCAGGTCAGGCAGGAAATGGATAAGTTTGCCTTTCATTGTAAATATACTAGTTATTGAATAGGTTTCTTAAAATTAGGTAACAGAAAATATAGTAAAAATACGTTACACTGTCATTATAAGAGATCCATTGGTTTTGGATGTTCAGATTCATTCTTGAGCTTGTCAGAAGTTTGAATGGGCTTTGGTGTTAGCATTGGTCTTGTTAGTATGGGTTAGAATGGTCTTTTTCATGAGCCAACTGGTTGGCCCAGACTGAGGTGCTGCAGGCCCTTGGAAGGAATATTGTGTGGTTTAACTTCTGCCACACATTTCTTAATACACAGATAAGTGGAAAACTTTGCTTTTAACCTATTATTTTTGTTACAAAAGCTAAGTTCATTTGCATTTTCTGGAAAATAGTGTTCTAAAATAATACTGTAAAATGGCATAGCACCTTATAGTTTACAATCGATTTCCCCATTTATTATCTCATTTAGTGTAGGTCATCTGTACACAGCTGAAGAGTAGCAGTAGTTATTCCAGGGCATGCTGTTCAGCTTGGGCTTCCTGAGACTGTTGAGACAGATCAGACTTGGGAGAGCAGGAGAGCAACTTGGGCAGATCAGTGTACCAGCTGACCGGATGCAGTGGCTTATGCCTGTAATCCTAACACTTCGGGAGTACAACACAAGAGGATTGCTTGAGGCCAGGAGTTTGAGACCAGCCTAAACAACATAGCAAGGCCCTGTCTCTACAAAAAAATAAAAATAGAAATAAATAGCCAGACGTGGTAGCACATGCCTGTAGTCCCAGCTACTTGGGAGGCTGAGGTGGGAGGATTGCTTGAGCCCAGGAGTTCAGGGCTGCAGTGAGCTGTGATCACACCACTGCACTCCAGCCTAGGTGACAGAGTAAGACACTGTCTCTTTAAAATTAAAATTTTTAAAAAAAATTTTTTAAAAAGCGTTGGGCTTTGAAGATTCAGTTTTCAGTGAAGTTTATGTAAAGTTTATTGCTACATTAATACCAAAAATGGCAGATCTACGTTTTTCTTAGTTTCCCTTCTAAAAAGTTTTTTTTTCTCCTTGGTTCTGTCTTAGATGTCTTGTGGCTTCAAGCACTCAGCAGTGGTCACTTCAGATGGCAAACTGTTTACCTTTGGGAATGGTGACTATGGTCGTCTGGGTCTTGGAAATACCTCTAACAAAAAACTTCCAGAGAGAGTGACTGCACTGGAGGGATATCAGATTGGACAGGCATGGAATAAATCAAGATATTCTAGCTGATCATTGTTTCTCAGTTCTTCTGTGTTCACTTAGAGACCCTCAGGAAGATCAGGATCACCAGTTGTACCTAACCTCATGTACATTTTGTTATGGTCTAATTGATAAGTTTAACTGTTTCCCAATGTGAAATTCATGTTTTAAGTCAATTTAAGTTTGTTTGTATGACAAACCAACAAATGTAACCCTTATTTCAGGATGTGAATATTTTTAAACCCCCCTTCATAACATACTAATACCACTTGCTATAAAACCCTTAAAAAATACAGGTACTAATAGCTCCTGTCTGGTAGCCTTGAATTGAATGGCTGAATTGCAACATCACTAGTAGCTACTGCTCCTAAGTAGTAATTATCTCTGTCTTGTATACATCAAGAGTGTCCTTTAACAAGGAAATATTTTTGGCTTTTTCTATATCATTCCTTAGATACTTTTTGATATGAATGAGTATTTTTGAGTTAGGTATACTTTCCCCCTATCGTTCGTACTGATTATGGTTTAGCCACAGACATTTGAAGGATTTCACTTTGAAGAAAAAAGTTATATATGGACATTAAGAATTATTTCTTGTTGACTTATTTTGGTTAACATTTGTAGTATGCTCTGAAACCATTGTAGGTATTTGGAAACATAGCCAAGTTTGTCACTGAAGTAGAGAAAAAGGGTCCCAGAAATGGGGGAGTGTGTTTTAGGTCTTGTGATTTGCCTTACTGAGTACTGTTATTTCCTCAGGTGGCCTGTGGATTAAACCACACTTTGGCAGTGTCAGCAGATGGTTCCATGGTGTGGGCTTTCGGAGATGGAGACTATGGAAAACTAGGCTTAGGAAATTCCACTGCAAAATCTTCACCTCAGGTCAGTACTGCCTTGAATCTAGGTTTTCAGACAACATAAATAGTTTTCATCTATGTCAGTAGTTATTTTTATTTGGAAATAATTTACCTTTAGTACTTTTGGTAATTCATAATGAAGTTTAGAAGCTTCTGTTGTGCATTCTTGAATGCCCACATGCTAGGTCTTGATTTTAAATAAGCTATTAGGCCGGGCGTGGTGGCTCAAGCCTGTAATCCCAGCACTTTGGGAGGCCGAGACGGGCGGATCACAAGGTCAGGAGATCGAGACCATCCTGGCTAACACGG